TTAAGGAATATGGGTGTACCAGAGGTTGAGTTGTTATGTGAATATGTTTTGGAATGATAAAATAGATGTTCTCAACATATGCAATCAACACATGATGAGTATTCTCAATATTAAAAATTAGGTGCATGAATGGTTGATGGAATGAGATGTGCGCAAATGAATTATTTTCTGTGATCACAAATTTAGCTATAGCACGATGCAGCAAATTATTTAGAATGATTCAATGGTGTATTAAGACATGCACATGTTATTGCAATTCAGGCACTTGTTTATGCTATTTATTATAGCATTGTTGTTCATAAAGCACTGTAATGATGCACCACAATAACTAGGAGCTACATACTTGTATTGAGGAAAAATCATTATTATAAAGATATGCTTGGAAGGCAATATGCTGTCCAGAACTAACCTACATTAAACCCAGCCGAATGGAGTTAATAGGGCCTAGTGTTTACATTTGATAAAGTTTGGGCATGGGTGTAGTTATATGTTGGCAGACCTATGTGCTTGTTCATAATCCTAAAGAGCTTAGGAGAAGTTCCTTGGATATTGATAAACATTTTTATTCATTTATCTAATTAAAATAGTACCTTATACGGTGTTATTTATGCTTAATTAACCTCTTGTAGGTGGAATGAAAAATGGTATGTTAAGTACCACTTGGCAATACGAGAGTTTATATGGAGATGCATGGATTATGAACTCCACCAAATCAATCATATTTATACAGCTATCACCCATTAAAAAATAAACTAGCAAACCTATGTATTTGCATGTGGCTTGATCAAACGATTGATAATTTCAAGAAAAATAAAAAATAAAAAAATATAGTTGATGATTTTCTTGTGAATTTCAATATTTGGGTAAGATAGGAGCGTGTTATTTTTTAATAAGTGCAAATATTTTGATGAAATTTATAAAATTGCCCGAAAAGTTATTTATATAAAGTATATTGGAATTTAAACTCTTTCTCAGATGCGCCTAAAGTTTAGGCTATTTGGAAACCTTAATCCACAAAGCTATTATTACATGTTCCTACCATCCATCTTTAGGTTAGTTATATGACTCGCTAGATTTCCAATAATAGGTCGATTATAATTTGAGTGACATCTAGTGGATGAAGTGATAGAATAATTTGGAGTTTAAAAACCTATTGAGCCTATGAAATAAGACGTTAAGAGGGTCAATAGTTGAGGCAAATTAGCTTGTAATTGCTTGACTATACTTAAAATTATAATGATAGATAGGATTATAAGATCATAAATAAGCTTATGTGTGATGCGGGAGCGTCTAGACAGATGTGTGATCGTGCATTACGGGGCAGACATGAGTGATTCCCATCTCGCATGATTACATCTGGAAATTTCCCACCTGCTATGGTCACTGGGTCCTTGTGGTCCCTATTTTTATGTTTAGGTTGAATTAAATTAGGATTAAGTTTTGTTTGATATTATTTATATGTTATTTCTTATTTTTGGGGACTTTTGCTTAAGTTCATGTATTAGAGATTGTTTTTCTCAAATTTTCTGTATTGGGGTGCTATGTTCATTGATTTGTCTTAAGTGGTCTATTTGTAACCTGTGTGGATTGATATTGTGATTTCTCTCGAACTTCCAAAGGCTTCCTACATTGTTGACTATGCAGTCGATCGGCAATTTTCTCATTCCAACTAGCTCTAGTTGTCAAGATTTTGATTTTTCAGCCAACATCACCTTCCTACCCTATTTTGTCATTCTACAACTTACCTAACCCTTTTCTATGTTATCCACATTATCTTGCTACCCTAGATTAAGAGGAAATGAGGATGCTAGAGAGTAGTCAACTTCCAACCGACGAGGAAGAAATGTTAGTAATCTGGCTGATCCTTCAACTAAGCCAACAAGAGGCTACAGTGGTTTCACCTTGACATCTTTCTTACTCATTGCATCGTGAAGTAAAATATTTTCAGTTTTATTATTGATGCAAGTAGCTGTGAAAACGTGGTTTCTAATCGAATGGTAGACAAGTTAAGCATTACCACATAAAAGCACACCTTATCTTGTCCACTGTTTTGGTTGAAGAAAGTGAATGAGATCACAATTAATAGGAGTTGTCTTGTAAGCTTCTCTATTGAAAAAAGTTTTAGTAGTAGATGAGATTTGACGTAATGCTTGTAGATGCTTGTCGCGTCCGATCAGGTCTTTATTGACAATATGAATGGTGCACGCGTCATGTTGGCTACAAGAACACATATTCCTTTACCAAGGATATGAAACACATCTCACTCTTATCGTGGAAGGTGTCTGAGGTAATGAGTATTCATATTCATATTTAGTGTGAGACTTTAGTGCCACAAGTTTTATTTTTATAGACCTTGAAAGAAACACCAGTTGGATTAGTTTTGATGGCTCTATAAGACAAGGAGTTTGAGGGGTCAATGTCAGATATATTGCAATTTTTGTTGCAAGAGTTTCAGGTTATATTGATCGGTAGTTTATCTCCCGACCACTAAGGAAGATCCAACATGCATTAGATTTATTTTCAGGATTTCTTCTTTCAAATCGACTTGCCCACCGAATGCGGTCAGCTAAGTATAAGAAGTTGCAAAAGTATGTTACAGACTTGTTAACTAGAGGCTATGCTTATGAGAGTACTAGCTTATATGCAGTTCCAACTCTAATTGTGCCAAATAAGGATCTATATTTATTCTACAAGAATAGACTTTTAATGGCGTGCCTGTTCTAGAGTTGCATTGGGTGGACGTGAGCATAAAATTTGTATTAGAGTTTCTCTTAGACACAGCAAAGCAATGACTTTGAAATGGTGGTGTCAATGAAAAAGTTTTCAGAGAAAGAGGCTAAGCCTCTCCTACTTGGAGAGAATGCCGCCGGAGCGGCCATATGGATGCATGATTGCTCATCATGAGGCTGACAGGCATGATTCCCGTCCCGTGAGATTACAATAGGAAATTTTCTATATGCTATGGCCATCGGGTTCTTGTGAGCCCTCTTTTTATGCTTATTTTAATTTGAATTAGGGTTAATTTATGCTTCAAACTATTTTTATGTTGTTATTTGCTATATTTTTGGACTTTTGCTTTTGTTGATGCAGTAGATAATATTCTCTCTAGTTTTGTCTATGGGAGCTTTGTATCCTTTGATTTCTCTCTGGTGATGTGCTTGTAACATGATTGGATCGAGTTGACTATCTCTTCCGAAGAGCTCCTTTGTCGCTAAAGTCGCAGCAGGCCATTATTTTTCTTGTTCCAGTTTGCTATCCAGCTGATGAGGCCTCGATTTCTCAACCGACATCATCTTTCCACCCTCTTTTGTCATTCTACAACTTACCCAACCCTTCTTTGTGGTTATCCCACACCGTGTAGCATTACTGGATTGACTTCATTGTGCTAGAGCAATTCAAAGTAGCACATATTACACTCAGAAGTAGGACATTTAAAATTGTATGATTATAGGCATATTTATATTTCTTCAAATGCCAAAGGATATATCAGATACCACCCTCGAGCACTGGTGGAGCAGGCATTGATATGCTTTTCTCAATTTAATATTATCCACTTATCATATTGGTTGCAGTTTAATAAAAAAATAATCATTGTTTTACATGACACATGCTACATGGTTGCTTGTCTATTTTGAGGTGATTTGATAGCTTTTTTTCATGGTCAAGGATAGGGCGCAGGCTTTATGCAACACGCGGTTGATGAGATAATTACTCTATGCCGAGTGATATGTTTGTACGCATAGAGAACTACAATGCACATGATGAAGATTAATAGATGAAACATCAAACAACCTCACTACTGACTTGCACAGTTATTGGATGGTTGGTTGCTGCATTGGTCCCAAGTGTAATTTTACCTTTTTTAGCTAACACCAACATTTGATTTGCATCGAATTGCTTCTGGAGAGAATAGCCTGACAACTTCTCATCATAACCTTGCAATATATTGGAAAAATTCCATATTGGGCGACTCCATCAATACCTGTAATACCATATGGATTTAGACCGAACTTGGGTAATACCAATAATGAAATGTCAATATCCATATTATCCTTCCCAATATTACATGCCACAAGTGGGTCTGCAAAAAGTTGCCTATCGACATGAGATAGAAGACATTAGTGATGAGAAAGGCGACACAATCTCACAAAATCTACAGCCTCATCCTTGGTAGGGTCCTAATCATTACACACTTGACATTGATGCAAAATCCCACATAGGCATAAAATTTGGTGGGATTAAAGGTCTACAGTTTGATGATCTATCACTGCATAGCAACAATTAGATTTAAAAAAAAAAAGATTATGTTCATGCTTAGAGAAATGAAAGAAAAACTTATTGTATAGTAATGCCAATTTCTCTGGAAGTTTTTGTCTCATTTTATTATCACATCGATGCCCATGCTTTCAGGAAAACCAGACTGATGGTCTAAAACTATTTTTCAAATTAATGGGGATTGTCAAATGGTCTCTGGGTGAGACTGATGTTACATGCTAGATCTTCTAAAGTCGTCCCATCCCTGGGAAATTTAATACTTACTAGATTTTTAATGTGGCATTCCTAATAAAAGGAATGTTGTGTGCGATCCTATTGAAAATTTGGTCTCTAATGCAGTATCTATTTTTTAATTGGTGTGGAAACAGCATTAATACAAGGGCTTGATTGGCTATTCTATCAGCTGTTTTACTTCCTTTTCACCTGTTTTTTTTTATCAACTCGTGTTGCTATGGGAGCTGGTGAATCTTCTTAGAATTTTTTTATCACGCCATGATGTCCTGTCTGTATACTCTTTTTCGCTGATTTTTTTGGCATTTTTATGATAAGTTCAATCTAAATAAAGTTTTCACAAGTATGTCCTACTTCATTTCTTTTATCATAAGATTTCACATTTTCAGTGTACCTAGTTCAGTATCTTTTGTTAGATTTCTGTTAGATTTCAAATGTTGGCATGACAGCATTATATGCTATATAATACATTGCTCATCAGTGTTACTACGCAGGATGGGGTGATGGCTACTCAAGATGAGGAGACTCGTCGGTTCTTCAAGCAGTCTTCAGTGCAGGTTCTGCTTTGCCCTCGTTCTGCTGGGAAGAAGCATAGTTGGGTAAAGCAGCAGGTAAGAGTTCAGTGTTTTCTTTGTTCCTTGTGCTAGGAGGCAACTTGTTTTGAATTTTTTTTTAAATTTTTAGATCATTCTATTCTCCAATTGTGCTAATTGTACTTATCTGCACCCACAAATACTCCAAACATTTATTTTTTATTTGCAGTGCATTTTAATTTGTACCTGAGTTTCAAGGCTTCCCAGTTAGGCTGCTAATTTTTTACAAGTTTAGGATTGTATTTGTGCTGACGGTAATTTTCTTGAACCACCTGAAAAATATGAATCTAATGGATTTACCTCTAGTCTCATTTCCTACACCAAATGGTATTTGCAATGACATGTAATCAATAAATCTATAGTAAGAGGCTTTAAAATAAATGAAACTGTTGACATTAAATATAAACATGAATATGTTGGAGGTAATTTTGAAGTAAATCGTGGATTTATATTATTCTAGCCAATGCCAGTGTGTATGTGCATCGTATGTGTAACATGCATATGCTATGAGTGAATAACTTATGAATGCCAAGAGATGTCGACAGTACACATGTAATTAGTGTAAAGTGCACATGTAATGATTCATGATTTTCTCTACTCATGCATGTGGGTGTATCATAATATAACCGTATAAAATGTCGGATGTGCACGTGTAATGTGCATGCTATACCCAATAAAGTCACAAGGATTCACCGCTAACCCAAGATACCTCTACAACTTTAGGATTCATACCAAACTCCTCTGATCAATCCTACATTTTAATCTCACGATCTGCATCCTAAATTCTGAGTCTTTTGTCTAAAGTTTTAACTTCTAAAACGGGGGTGGAGTGCAGTGTGTGGGGATGGGGACAAAAAAACCGTCTTCCATTCCCCAAAATCTCAAGATTTGATTTCTCATCAATACCTTTTGGTCAATCCCAAAAATCACTAAACCCGGGGCCATCTTTCTCTCATTTCTCTATAGATAAACCCACGCCATAAATCATCTCTTTTTCCCTTCACAAAATCCCATACAATCTTTTCTAAAAGTCTACATGTGCCCAAAATTCTTCCATCCCTTCTGATACGTCCCTAAATTAATTGATGAAGTAATTACCTCTTATGGTGCATATGTTCATAGAGCTTGAAGTGCTGGTGACTTTGCTTTGAGACAAGAATGAGCGCAAGGAAGGCTTGGTGGATGACTTTCTAACACCGGAGAGACTCACGAGAGATCAATTTTTGGGGTTTTATGGTTGGTTATGAGAATGGCAGTGCACAACAAGAAGCTGACGAGCAAATGGCTCGTGTCAGAAGGTCGAAGGGTGTTGACAATTGTGTCATAATGCTGAGAGTCGTGCATTGATTGTGCTTTAGGGGAAAAGGTGAGGAAATTACAAAAATCAGGGCTGTAGAAATTTTATGGCGATAATAAATTACAAATTAGATGTGAATTTTCTACCCAAAATCAGCAGTAATAGACACTACTTTTTTCAACAGTATTGAAAACTAGTGACTGGTTGTAGAAAATATGCATAATTTTAATTAATATTTTCTGTCAGCAAATGCATAATATTTCATTATTTTTTTGTAGTAATAATAATGCCATTACAGTCAAGATAATCACTCGATGAATAAACACATTTATGTCCTTATTGGTTTGAAATTTTTTAGTGTAGCAATATGAATGCATTTGATATGATGTTGGATATTTGTGAGTTTTGACAAACTTAAAAATGGCATTATTGGCAAATTGGTCCAGTGGATGGATGGGTGTTTTCTTGGATCATAATTCATAGATCATTCACAATTGCTTGATTTTTTTAATATTTAATATACTTTTTTTTTGTTTTATTTTCAATTTTTTAATGGAGTGCTAGATTTAAATATATTTTCCTCTGATCATGATTTACTTGATTTATGTTTATCATCATGAAAATAGGTCAAAATATGTTTACCTTGGAGTTTGAGAGGTCATTTTTATGATAGAACCACATTTGATTATTATTTATATGTAATCATACCCATTGGAAGATCAAGGTACATGTGGTTTTATTTTTAGATGCAGATTATTGTTTCATGAGCCTTGTTGCCTTTTAATACCCTATTATAAAGGATTGGGACCTTGCAAATCCATGTATAAGTTTCATTTGAATTAACTTGGATACTTATTATGGAATAGAGCTTGCCACTCTAATCATATATGTTAAGGATTGTTGTTGGACATTTATTATGATGTAAACTTTTTTCAATTTTATTCTCGTACATAGAGAATCATGTCTTTGAAGATGGTCATCTTATGAATTTTTTTACCATGCCTGCTCTTTTGCAAATGATTGATTTTAGGTGAATTTATGTATGTGGGTTTTGAATTCACTTGGACGCATATTGTGTTTTAGACCATGCTAACTCTACACTCATATATTAAGGTTTATGGCTTTATGCCTCGTAAATTTGTTGGGATATAAATCATGTTAATTTGATTCCTGTGATGTGTAGGATCTTAATCGTCTATTAAGATTTGAGACTTAAGACATTGCCCTATAGGTAGGGCACCTTCTAGTTTTATTTTTATTCTCTTATAACTTTTACCTCTGTAGGATATAAGTTTTTTGTTGACATAGATCTACATGTAAATGTTTGCATCCCCACAATATTTTTTTTCATAATTTTGGCGGGTGATCTATATTTTTGAGTGAGAAAAAATAAATCATGTGCCTTGAAACAAGTGAGATGATTCTAGAATTCTTAAAATAGGTTTTTTTTTCTTCATTTTTTTCTATTTTCTTGCATTCTATGAACTTTTTTTTTATTTCTTATTTCTTATTTCTATTTTTTTTCCATAACTATTTCAAAATATCAGCATTTTTTATTATTTCGCAACCCAAGTGTTTATGCATGTACCCTAGGAAGTTGTTGCTTGAATTAAAGAATCAATTTTTATGTTTTTTATTGCAATTGTGTAATTTTTGAAATTGGCATGTTTTTTAGAGTATCACTCGAATTAGAATCCCCTTGAATGGTGCACGATACACGATCAGAGCCACCAGACCATTAAAATGTGCGCAATAGTTTTTTTTGGTGGGTTGACATGCTTTTTTGAGCATGCACAAGCTTTTTCCGATTCTACCATAATTTACAGTAAATTTTTCCTTATGAACTACGCTTACCATTGAAATCATTGAAGTTTAATTGCTTTTTTCCTTTATTGGTCACACATTGTCATTGGAATGCATGCTTGGCTTTGCCATTTTGCATATCTTTTTTGTATTTTAGTAGCTTTTACACTTCAGTGCACGTCTGCAGCGCCCTAGTAGATTCATTTTAGTGTTCACTTACAAGTTTACTTGTGTTCACACAACTTGAAACTTTGATGACTGTTGACCTCGCTTTCGGTCAAGGTGTAGTTTTTCCCCTTCTTAATAGCCTAGGATCTAGCCGTAGGATCTTTCTGTCGACTACTCCTAGAAAACTAGTGAAGGAGCCCTCCCCGTTAGCAATTCTGGACTTTCCTTTGCTCGACTTGTGGTAGTTTTTGGTAGTTTTGACCGCTATTGCCTAGCAGGTAAGACTACTCCAAAGGAACTCAGGGAGCACTCCTATAGGACTGACAGCCTTAGTATTGACTTTACTCGTTGATTCGGACCGCTACGCGTTTTTGTCCCAATCGTCGACAAAGTTGCCCGGATGACTTCGGATGACGAAACGGACTGCGCCGACGCGTCCGGAACGTCGATTTTGCTTAAGGGGGACGTTCGTTTCATTGCGACGGCGCATCTTGGGGAAAATACCTATTTAAGTGTTTATTATAATAATAAATAATATATTATCATTATTATTATAATTAATAACTTATATTAAAACCCTTAACCTAAATTCTTCCCCCTCCCCGCCTCATCCCTCTGAACCTGTGGGTATGCCTTAGCCCTAGGATGACTCGTTCGGTCGCTCGGTCGCTCGGTCGCTCGGCCCACTCCTTCGTGCCGTTGGGGAGGTTTCGTTCCCGCATTCGCCTCTCGCACGCGGGACAGATCACGTAGGCGCCCATTCCTCGTATCCTATCTTCTGCGATATGGGCTCGATCTCCTCTGCCGCGGATCGTATCCTCTGCGAGAGGATCTAATCCTCTGCATCTCTCGATCCCTCTGCCGTATCTTCTTAATCATTCGTCTCCTTTGCCCTTAGCATATATGAGAGCTCCTCTGTGAAGCTTCAAAGAGGCCAAAAATCTTTCTAAGGGAGAAAACTCTGCTTTTTTTTTTCTCTCACTCACTTCTTTGATCTGCTGGTTCTTGAATCGGTTTCCTCCTGCTGTTGGGAGAGGAAGTGAAGTTGCAGAGTGCTTTTAAAGTTTCTGTGTTACCTTCTTTTATTTCAAAGAGGTACCTTCTTCCCTCTCCCCCTGTGCGCTGTCTGCGTTCGACCCTACTCTTTACCGAGCCCCTGTGCTTTATGTGTGCTCGTCCTTGTTCTCTGTCAAGCCTTGTTAGCATGCTAGAATAGGGAGATTACTATTTACCTCATTCTTAAACATGTTCTAACTTACTCTTTATACACTTATTGTGTGGGAATGACATTTAAAAGCTTGAGGGTGTGTATTTCCTTCTCTCTCCCTTCCTCTGTGCTTTACTGGCTTTCGGTTTTAGCCTTGCCGAGCCTTCAATGATGATTTCAGGGTATGATTTGGCATTTTAGTTGCCACTATGCTTGTATTTGGAAATGTTTATCACTTAGCGCATGTGAAAGATTAAAGAAAAAATATATGCATATATATACTAGAGGTTGGATTTGGCATGCTAGATTTGGCATTGGATTTGGCATGCTATTAGTCCTTTCTTTTACTTTGTTTATCCAAAGCACTAAAGTCATAGCATGTTTTCAATCCCCCAAGGCATACTTATGTTGGAAGTAATTAAGGGGGGTGGTTTTGAAATAATTGGCCCTTCTCATGAGCATCTTAGTATGTGTATTGCGAAGCTTTCATACGCTTTCATTCAAAGCATGTGGTAGTTCTGTTTTGAGATGTCTTAAAGGTAT